TCATCAAAATAGTTTATGAATGATGACAATTTTGTAATTTTCGTTTGTTTTTGGGGCATTTGGTTATGAAAACCCTATGAAAAAGGAGAACAGAATCTAGATTAGGCAAAATTGTACCCAGTCAGTGAATCTATTCTATAAGCAAGTATGGTTAATGAGTTTTTGACCCGCAACCTGTTTAAGACCTATTTTTTGACCCATTTAAGTCTCGGGTTAACCCGCAAGAAATTTTTATATATATAGTAAGCATAATATTTATTACTTTTTAGGAATGAAGAAAAAAATAGAAAGTCAAGTATTAAAATATTAAAATATTAAAAATAATAATAAAAATGCTAACATCCTTTAATGAATTAACATTCACGATTTTTTTTTAAAAAAAAATTAATGATTAAATCTTTCCAAAACAAATAGAACGGTAGATTCATCACAAAACCCTAATTAGAAGAAAGAAGGAACGCATTGCGAGAGAAGAATGAGTTGGAGGGATGAATCAGATCAGATGATGTTTGCTTTGAATTAGAACTCGATCGCAAGGAAAGAAAGAAGGAACACAGCGCCCCTTCTTTCTCTCTTGCGCTATGTTGTTTTTTCATCTCCTCGTGATTGAGTCCAAATTCAAAGCAAGTATCATTCAATCTGATTCACCCTATCCCTCACCTATTTATCCCTCTAAACTCATTCTTCTACTGAGCTGCGTTAATTCTTTAATTTTTTTAAATTTTCTGTGTCATTTGCACCACGTGGTTTGTTGCCATTAAGTATTCTTTGATTGTCCATATCCTTTAAACTTGGAGATCATATGGTTTTGAAGATGATGATAAAGTTCTTTGGAAGTCATAGTTATGATTTTGATCATATAAGTTTCGTTGTTCCACATAAAAAGAAATAGGTTTAATTTCCGGTCTAGTGACCAGACCCAACCCAATTGGTTTGGTCATGGGTTGACCCAATTAGTTGTAGTCAGGTGACCAGACCCAACCCAATCGGATTTTAACTTGGTTTGAACTTTTATGATTTTTTGGACTTTTTTTCTTTTAGGCTTTTTGATGCATGTGAAGTGAAAATGGCCTGATCCAACCTGCACATGCAGTTTGAACTTCTATGATTTGTTTGGCTACATGACGACTTTCCCTTTTGCGTCTTTTGAGACATTTTCATGCATATTTTGTATGCTTAAGGTTTGAACTTTTTCCATGCTTATGCAGCAGAATGGCAATGAAGGGAATACGGATGGGCACAGGAAGGGAAGAAAATGAAGTAAATTGGTCGGAATTTACTTATGTAATATAGCCAGAATCCTAATGTAGCCAGAGCAACAGTACTGCCAAAGCCAAACTGCCTATGGATAATGGGACTGCGATTTTCACGCTTGGTACACTTACCTCTGACTCTAGCACCCTTGATAAGCCATATTCCGATTGTGCGCCTCACTCATGTCTACGGTGAAGCCAATACATGTTCTGATTTATACATAAAAGAGAGAGGTTTTTTTTTTTTGTGAACATGGGAAACTTTGGGAAACAAAAGATTTTTTTCAAGTTATTAGGGAGAGTTAAACTCTCAATCAACTAAATTTAAATATTAAAATTTGAGAATAAATTATTAGATTTGAAAGCCTAATTCATATGAGAAAGTTATTTGATAATATAAAAATTTAAATTTTTGACATTTACCACAAATCAAAATTTTTATGTTATTGAATATCAATTTGATCAAACTTTTATTGATCCAATACATGTGCTAATTATTTCTCAAATTTTGGAATCTCTATCTACATTTATTTTCATGTAATTTTACTTTGAAATCCAGCTGCCAATTATTTCCCAAAATTTGGGGTCTCTAACCACATTAATCTTTAGTTATATAAGCCCTTGGTTTTAAGCATATATTATTAACCATTTGTATCTGATGCCCAGTATTGTTCCTTAAGACTTTCAAATAGTAGTCATTAGCTCATACAACGGGTGTACTTCTTTTTAAAGGTAAAAATAAATTTATTTATTAATAATAAAAAATTACAAGAATTATAAGTTAACTTATAAGATGTAAGT